ATGCAAATGTAAACCAAAAGTGACAGAAATAGCTATTCTTAGTTAAAACAGACTTTAAAGCAACAATAGTTTCTTTTAGCAAAAAAAGACAAAATCATCAAATAATGATAAAACGATCAATCCAACACAAAGATATAATAATCCTAACTATATATGCACCTAACTCTAGAGCTCCCATATTTACAAAGCTATTACTATTAATCCTAAGAAAAGAGATAGACAGCAACACAATAATAGTGGGGCACATCAACACTCCACTGACAGCACTAGACAAATCATCACAGCAGAAAGTCAACAAAGATATACTGGACTTAAACTGCACTGTAAAACAAATGGAACCTAACAGATATTTATAGAACATTTTACCCAAAAACTGTGAAATACACATTCTTCTCACCAGCACATGGAACATTTTCCAAGATAAACCATAAGATGGGCTGTAAAACAAGCTTTAATAAATTTTTAAAAATTGAAATCACAGCCAGTATCATCTCAGACCAGAGCAGAATACGACTAGAAATCATTACAAAAAAAAAAAAAAACCCTCAAAACTATACATATACATGGAAATTAAACAATTTACTCCTAAATTATTTCCAGATTAAAAATAAAATCAATATAGAAATTTAAAAATTTCACAAAATGAATGATACTGGTTGTAAGGTTTATTGCCGAGGTAAAATGAGGAAACTGAGGCAAGTATAAGAAAATGAGAAGTTAATGTATTCAGCTCCCAGGCAAGGTTCTGTGGTCCAGGAAGGTGCCAAAGAAGTCACGCTAGCTATTCAGGGTGACGGGTTTTATAGGGAGGGGAGGCAATTGATTGGCTATTGGGGAAACAAAGTGAAGGCAATTTCATTGGCTGTTGAGAAACAGGACATGCATGGAGCAAGCTGTCATTGGTAGGCAGGCGGGACTTTGGGTAAGTGGGCCTTGAATGGCTATTGGGGAAACAAAGCAAGGGCAATTTCATTGGCTGTTGAGAAACAGGACATGTATGGAGCGAGCTATCATTGGTAGGCAGGCGGGACTTCAGGTAAGTGGGTCGGCCGGGGACGTATGGGGCAGACTGCTATTGAGTAGGGTTTGGTGGGGCTTCTTTAAAAATTTTTGGTGGGGTCTTTCAACAACGGGCTGGGGGGTTGAGTGCATGGTTTGGTGCTGAGTGTGAGCTTGGGTATGGTATGTAGAGGCGGGTGCGGGGAAGCCATGTGGCGAGGCCAGATAATGAGCTTGGGGTGATGACGTAGTCATCAGGCACAGAGAGGGATGGGTGTGTCCATTCAGCTCCCAGCGAGGCGAGGCAACCGGCCTTACACTGGTGACAGTTATCAAAGCCTGTGAGACACAATAAAAGCAGTGCTAAGAGGAAAGTTTGTAGCACTGAGTGCCTACATCAAAAAGTTTGTTAAGATCACAAATTGACAAGCAAGTGTCACACTTTGAGGAACTAGAAAAAAAAGAACAAGCCAAACTCAAAGCTAGCAAAAGAAAATAAGTATCAAAGATAACAGCAGACTTCAATGAAATTGAAACAAAAAAATACAAAAGACAAATGAAACAAAAATCTGGTTCTTCGAAAGAATAAACAAAACTGATAGATCACTAGCTAGGTTAACCAAGAAAGGAAGAGACATTCATATAAGCTCAATAAGAAATAATAATGGAGACATTACAACTGACACCACAGAAATACAAAAGGTCATTCAAGTATACATGAACACCTCTATGTAAAACTAAAAATCTAGCAGAAATGGATAAATTTACAACCTCTTTAGCTGGAATCAGAAAGAAACAGAAAACTTGAACAGGCCAATAATAAACAACACGATCAAATCAGTAACTAAAAAAATAAAAATAAAAAAATAACTGCCAACACACACATACAAAAAGCCCAGGGCCAGATGGATTCACAGCCAAATTCTACCAGACATTCAAAGAAGAACTGGTACCAATTCTACTGAAACTATTCCAAAAGATTGAGAAGGATGGAATCTTCCCTAACTCATTCTACGAATCCAGTATCACCTTGACACCAAGCCAGGAAAGGACATAACAAAAAAAGAAAACTACAATCCAATATCCCTGATAAATACAGGAGCAAAAATCCTCAACAAAAAACTAGTTAACTGAATCCAGCAGCACATCAAAAAATCAATTCTTCATAATCAAGTGGGTTTCATTCCAGGGATGCATGGATGATTCAATATACACAAGTCAATAAATGTAATTCATTATACAAACAGAATTAAAAATAAAAACCATATCATTTCAGTAGATGCAGAAAAAGCATTCAATAAAATCCAGCAGTGCTCTATGATAAAAATCATTAACAAACTAGGCACAGAAGAAACACACCTCATGATAATAAAATCCATACATAGAAAAAACACAGCCTACATCATACTGAACACAGAAGAGCTGAAAGAAATCCCCCTAAGTGACAGAACAAGACAAGGATGCCCACTTTTATCACGTCTATTCAACATAGTACTGGAGTCCTAGCCAGAGCAATCAGGTGAAAAAAATAAATAAAGGACTTTCGAATTGGGAAAGAGAAAGTCAAATTACCTCTGTTTGCTGATGATATGATCTTATAACTAGAAACTCTAAAGACTGCAAAGGACTCCTAGATCTGATCAATGATTTCAGGAAAGTCACTAGTTACATAATCAATGTACACAAATCAGTAGCACTGCTATACACCAACAATGACATAGCTGAGATTCAAATCAAGTACTTAATCCCTTTTACAATATCTAGAAAAAAAAATAAAATTCCTAGGAATATGCTTAACTAAGGAGATGAACAACCTCTACAAGGAAAACTTCAAAACACTGCTGACAGAAATCATAGATGACACAAACAAATGGAAACAATCCTATGCTCATAAATTGAAGAAATCAATATTGTGAAAATCACCATACTTCCCAAAGCAATCTACTGATTCAATGCAATTCTTATAAAATTATTAAATAACAACAGTATTTTTCACAGAATTAGAAAAAACAATCCCAAAATTCATTTGAAGCCAAAAACAAGCCTAAGTAGCCAAAGAAAACTTAAGCACAAAGAAGAAATCTAGAGGCATAACATTACCCAACTTCAAATTATACTTCAAAGCTACAGTAACCAAGATAGCATGGTACTGGTATAAAAGTAGTTACATAGACCAATGGAACATAACAGAGAACCCATAAATAAAGCCAAATATCTACAACCAGCTAATCTTTGGCAAAGCATACAATAATATAATCTGGGGAAAGGACCCCGTATCAATAAATGGTGCTGGGAAAATTGAACAACTATATATAGAAGAATGAAACCAGATCTTTATCTCTCACCACATAAAAAATCAACTCAAGATGGGTTACAGATCTAAATCTAACATCTGAAACTATAAAAATTCTAGAAGAAAACCTAGGAAAAACTCTTCTGGACACTGGCCTAGGCAAATAATTTATGACTAAGACCCCAAAAGGAAATGCAACAAAAACAAAAATAAATAAATGGGGCCTATTAAACAAAAGCTTCTGCATAGAAAAAAAATTTGGAGCAAACAGAAAACTCACAGAATGGGGGAAAATATTTTAAAACAATGCACCCGACAAAGGACAAATATCCATAAGGAATTCAAACAAATCAGTAAGAAAAACAACCAAAATAATCCCATTTAAAAGTGGGCAAGGAACATTACTAGACATAAAGATATACAAATTGCCAACAAACATGAAAAAATCATCAATATCACTAGTCATCAGGGAAATGCAAATTAAAGCAGTAAAATACCACCTTACCCCAACTAGAATGGCCATTACTAAAAAGTTAAAAAACAATAAATGTTAGTGTGGATGTGATGAAAAAGGAATGCTTATATGCTGTTTGTGGGAGTATAAATTAGCACAGCCTCTATGGAAAACAGTATGGAGATTTCTCAAATAACTAAAAGTAGACCTACCATTTGATCCAGAAATCCCACTACGATCTACCCAAAGGAAAAGAAATCACTGTATCAAAAAGACACCAGCATATGTGTGTTTATCACAGGATGATTCATAATGGCAAAGATATGAATCAACCTAAGTGCATATATACATCTACACATGTATATATGTATGCATATATATGTATGTTATATGTTTATATATGTATATACTCATACACACCATGAAATAATGTTCAGCCATAAAAATTAATGAAATACTGTCTTCTGTGCAACTTGGATGGAACTTGAGGCCATTATTAAAAATAAAGTAACTCAAAAATCAAAAACCAGATTCAGCATGTTCTCACTCATAAGTGAGAGTTAAGTTATTGGTACGCAAGGACATACAGACTGGTATAATGGATACTAGAGACTCAGAAGAGGGTAAGGTGTTAGGGAGTGAGAACTGAAAAACTGCGTATTAGGTTCGATGTACACTACTCAGGTGACAGGCACGCTAAAATGCTAGACTTCACCACTACACATTTCATCCATGCAACAAAAAACAATTGTACCCCTAAAGCTAGTTAAGTAAAAATAAATTTAAAATAAGTAATAAATATCTACACTATTTCCCCACCTCACCAGCCCTTACCACAATCCCCAATATGCAGCCTCTGTCCTTGTTCCATAGTCACAGGCCATATTTTACATAGACATAGACACACACACACACACACGCACACACACACACACACACACAGTATTAGGTAAAAATATCAATTAACAGCCCTTATGAAAATTCAATTTCAGCTGAGGCAATGATTCCTATGCCTTGGAATGGTTTTAGACTTCCAAACTGAAAAATATTGCTGAAATCTCACTTCCGTAAGTCAAAATTTGATTGCATGTTCAGTTTAAACTTCTGAGTCTAAAAATGGCTATAAGGTTAGTATTTTTAAAAACAGCCAACTAAATGCAATTTCTCTTTCCAATTTGGCCAAGCTTTTTAGTGGAAATTATTCCTAAATAGACTGAAAATCTATGACAACATCCAATGGTCTTGTCTACCTACCTGTGTTTATGTTTCAAATTGTCAGCAGAGCCTGTACTTCAGAGGTCAGCTGCTTGGCAGTCTTAGCTGCCTCTGTGATAGCCTTGGATACAGGCCCTTTCTCTTCTTATTCAAGTGTATCTGCAAGTGTTCTAAAAAGTGAGAAAGGTACAAAAGAGAAAAAAAATGCTGGAGGATTGAGCCATAAAATACAGTCCTCCTTTAGGACTAAAAGGCCATTATCATTCTGGCTCACGGTTTTAGTAAGAATAGGGGCTGGCACCAAGGAAAGCCATGTATCTAGGCCCAAACAAATGTCCCTGACACATATGGTCCTGCCATGTGGTGTGATACATTTAGAGACAATTTTGGAATATGTATTTTCAAGGAATTACTGAACTTTCTCTCTTCCTTTGACAAGCAGAAAGTGAAGGATTTGGAAGGTGCAGGCATACTGCCTGGAGGAAAATGAAAGCTTTATGAGGAGCTACATTCAGAGTTGGATGATTTCAAATCATCTGTGCTATCAATGCTACACACTGAAGCACGGGAAGAGTCAGCGTTCTTTTGGTTTAAGGCCAGAGATAATGCTTTTACTGCCTTTTTTGCACAGTGTCTATGGTTCATCCTGCTCACCAGGAGCATGCATTTGAGTCCTGAACCTCACTGCTGGGGTCTTCTGGGCCTTTTCAGAGACTAATTTTCAGAAGGCCCTCATTTGCTCAGCGGATAAAGGTGCAGCAAGACTGGAGATAGGGACCAGCTTGCCACTACACACTTTCTCAAGTCCTGTCTTCAGAGAAGAGCCATTTTTTTCACCCCTGTACCTCTGTGGTTTTAAATGAACCCCAGGCAGAAAGGCACCTGACTAGAATTCTGATATTGACTCGTGAAATGGACTTTTGAATGTGCATTTTTGGAGTGGAGGTTTCAGTTTGCTTCTTTCATGCCTTTTCCTTGGCAATTTTTGACAGTTCCCTGAGCTTCTTCTGCATGATCCACGTTATTACTCTGGAGCAGTTTTTTAGTACTTAACTGAGCATTCAATGTATCTGCCTGAGCAGAAACATTTACTACTCTGTCTCTTCTGTGAGCAGTATTTGAAATCATAACCACAGTATTTGTTTCTGGCTTTCATTTTGGTTTTTCCACCCACTCTATGGCCAGTTTTTAGTTTTTTGTTCACAGTAGGTACATTTTCATATGTCCGTTTTTTATCGTCATATTTAGCAGAGTCACTTGCATTACTACCTTTTCTAATTTTGTTTTTCTTTTGTTTTCAGCAACAGCTTTTTTTTTTTTTTTTTTTTTTTTGAGACGGAGTCTTGCTCTGTTGCCAGGCTGGAGCACAGTGGCGCAGTCTCGGCAGCATCCGCCTCCCGGGTTCAAACGATTCTTCCGCCTCAGCCTCCCAAGAAGCTGGGACTACAGGTGCGTGCCAAATGCCCGGCTAATTTTTGTATTTTTAGTAGAGACGGGGTTTCACCATGTTGACCAGGATGGTCTCTATCTCGTGACCTTATGATCCACCCACCTTGGCCTCCCAAAGTGCTGGGATTACAGGCGTGAGCCACTGCTCCTGGACGCAACAGCATTTTTTAACATTTATCGTGTAAGGCTTGCCTAGGTCATAGTTTAATGGTATTTATTATTGAATTGGGTTCTTCCCCAGATATTTTCCATTGGGTAGCTTAATTTTCTGAGGAGGAGGCTGAGGTACTGATTGGTTAGATGGATTCCGATAGAGGGAGGATAAGGTGCTCCTTTGTGGGAAAGAGGCGGTGGTTTAGAATTCCACAGGCTTTCAGCCAAGCTTAGCACACGAGGCAGGGCAAGAGAAAGGTCACTGGGAACAATACCATTCGCATCACACTTGACTTCTGTCCCTTCTTGGAATGTATGCTGCTGAAGCTCCATAGCTTCCGGGTTATCTTTATAGTCCCTTTTGGGGAATACTGTCATAGTGATGCGGACCCAAACGGCATCACCAGAACGGCTGTATTTGTTTCCTACCAAAAGTTGGGCTATGGTACCAAATGTTTCATGGTCTCTTTTGAACATATCCAGGAGGACCCCGGAGAAGAGCTTCTCACCGGCGCAGGACGACATGATGAGCGCGTCCTCAATGCACTATGACCTGCACCTCCGAGCCCGGGGTCAGCTGCCACACCAAGGAGTCACCACCGACCGTCGGCTGAATGAGCCCAGGTGCTGCAGTTGAGGCAGCGGCGTCTCCTCGCGCTACTCAGGAGCTGGTGGTTGCTCCGCCGCAGTGCAGGTAAAGGGGTGAAAGGTCAGACTCTTGAGAGGTGCGGCTGCCCCAGATCCGTCTCCCTCACAGGCAGTTTCCCCTCAGCCTCAGCTCCGGCCCTGCCGCCTCCATGTTACCGGCAAGCGTCCCGCGGCGGCAGCGGCAGCTGCACGGCCTGAGGCGCGGACTGCTGGGCGTCGGCCTCACAGTAGGGCACAGACGCTTCAGTGGCCGTAACCGGGAGAAGTTCGGTGTCAGCCTCGCTGCTGGGGACAGGTGCCGTCCACAGCCAGGCCTGGCCGGGGCCCTGCTCTCTGGGCACGCTGCAGTCGCCGCCGCCGCTACAGCCACGGCCACCATTTTCCTCCCGGCTTCCCCTCCTCCACCTCGGGCTGAGGTGGCTGCCCAGCTGCTGCGGCGGTGGCGGCGGCGCCGATGACTAATTGCAAACTCTAAGACCCGGAGTGGACTCACCTGTGAAGCCGCCCACCTCAGAGATTGCTGCCCCAACAAGTGGGTATGAAACACCTGTTCTATAGATTTTAACATGAGAATGAAAATGTTTTTAAAACTCAACTGTTAGTATACTTAATGTTGGGTTCTGGCAATGGATTGTGTTTCTTGTTTTACTATATATTTTTTTCTTTAAAACAGACATTCAATTCTGTAAGGAAAAAAATAAACATTATAATATTTAGTAAATATTATATGCCAACCGTCCCCAGGCTCAGATTCTAGTGTAGGTAGTATATGACGGGTAAGTATTTGCCAATGCACAATATGAGTTTGAGAAATCTGTCTACAACGTGATAATCAGCTTAGGGTGAACCCTTCATCATACAGAGTGAACTTTTTATTTTAACTTGTTTCAAATCCTCTTTCATGTGTTCTTTGCCTGCCCTTTTGATATTATTTCCCTTGATATTCTGTGAGGGCTTTTTTTTTTTTTTTCTTTGAAACAAAGCCTTGTTCTGTCACCCAGGCTGGAGTGCAATGGAGCAATCTTGGCTCACTGCAGCCTCTGCCTCCCTGAGTAGCAATTCTCCTGCCTCAGCCTCCTGAGTAGCTGGGATTACAGGCGACCGCTACCAATTTTTGTATTTTTAGTAGAGACAGTGTTTCACCATGTTGGCCAGGCAGATCTCAAAACTCCTGACCTAGTGATCCACCTGCCTCGGCCTCCCAAAGTGCTGGGAGCCACTGTGCCTGGCCTTGTCCGTTTTCTATAGCATGATCCTAATACTTTATCGTCTTTCTCACATGTGTGTGGATGTCTGCATGTGTGTTTATGTATGTGTGCACGTTTTTGTATGCACGAATGTGTACTTCTGTGGGTATGCCTGTGTGTGTGTGTGGTTAAGTGTGTGCATTGGTTGTGTTTTTTGTTCATATGTATATATTAACTTTTATTATTCATTTAATGACTGTCAAGTTATTGTCTTCGTATCTATTTACTTAGTTACCTACATCTTATCTAACTATTGTACAAAGCAAGAATCACTTCACCACTTTCAGAATATTATTTCAGTTAACACATTTAAATGACCAAATAATCAGGAATATATGCCCAATGCCTAAAACATACTAGTAACTATGCAAGTTACTCTACTTACTAAGGGTAAATTGTACAGTTCCTGATCTTTAAAAAGTTTCTTTTGCCTTTAACTAACGTTTTCTTTCTTTAAGTTGGGAAAATGTATGATGACTAAACTGTAATTTATTTTAGCCACTTAACCAAAATTATGCAATCTCCCAAATTTTCTCAACACTTATTAAATAAAAACTTAAAATTCCTTAAGTTTTCTAATAATCTGACTCAGGTGTTGTTTCCAAGGTCTCACTGCCACCTCACACTCCGACTTCCTAACGGGTTCTAGTGGCCCTGAGTTACTGTTTCATAAATATATATTCCTCCTGAGTTGCCTCAAAACATTGAACATGCTATTCTTTTTAGGCCTATCCATTCTCTCTCTTCCATTTTCAAGTTGTCTAAATCTGAACCACTTTTCCAAACTAGCAAACTAGCACAGATTCTACACAGTAATTTATACTTCCTTAATAATCTTTCTTTATATAGTACCTCTCTTGTAACAATTCACGCAATCTGCATGAGTCAGTCATGAATTCTATATAGAATGTCAGTGATGTTCTCATCACTATGTTAGGCACTAGGAATATGACCAATAACAAAATGTACGCTGTTTTCATTCACATGGAGTTTAGAGTCTAGCAGTAAAGGTGGACATTAAACAAATTATTTTAAAAATACACCATGAAAAACTGAATAAACTCTGTAAAAAAAATATGAGAACTTGAAAAAAGCATGTTTTTGTTATTTATGTGAAGAAACAGTGCTAGATGGCGAATGCTTCGAGGGGAAAGACCACCTACATGTTACCTTGTATAACTAGAAAGCACTCAAATAATATTTATATATTTTAAAGATATTAAAGTTTTAAATATTTAATATTTTAAAGATTTTTAAAATAAAGCTTAGTTCCGTTTATACTAATAAGAAAGTGGAAAGGCTGGTTTTACAATGAGGCTGCTTTTCATTTTATTTAACATTGATATAGGAAGCAAATGAGAATTAGATTCTAACATAACTTTACCATATCTTTTTTATTTCAGTCTTATCAGTTTTTTGTATATCATACAAATAACTTAGAAATAACTGATTTTTAGATGATAACCACAGTTGTTGTTCTGTAACTTTAGAAATAGTCCATTCTAAAATAACAAAGATTCTTAGTAAATAAAGAAGATTGACAAGTGCATCTAAAATATTAAAATTATTCTGGGAGTAGACTGAGTCATACTAATTAAGTGAACACCATGACCTTACCAGTGTTTGGCCATCCATGAAGCCAGAAATCTCTGTGGATTCAATATTAAAAGAAC